GAGAACGCCTGCATTTTATTTTTCTTCACTTTTGTATCACAGTGTTATTTATAACAATAAGATATCAAAATATGTATGGGGGTCCGTGAAATTAAATAAATTCCTCAAGGGGTCCGCGAAGTAAAAAACGGTGGGAACCGCTGGTCTAGTCTATAGTCTAGTCTACAGTCTAGTCTATAGTCTATTCTATAGTCTAGCCTATAGTCTAGCCTATAGTCTAGTCTATAGTCTAGTCTATAGTCTAGTCTATAGTCTAGTCTATAGTCTAGTCTATAGTCTAGTCTATAGTCTAGTCTATAGTCTAGTCTATAGTCTAGTCTATAGTCTAGTCTATAGTCTAGCCTATAGTCTAGTCTATAGTCTAGTCTATAGTCTAGTCTATAGTCTATTCTATAGTCTAGCCTATAGTCTAGCCTATAGTCTAGCCTATAGTCTAGCCTATAGTCTAGTCTATAGTCTAGTCTATAGTCTAGTCTATAGTCTAGTCTAGTCTAGTCTATAGTCTATAGTCTAGTCTATAGTCTAGTCTATAGTCTAGTCTATAGTCTAGTCTATAGTCTAGTCTATAGTCTAGTCTATAGTCTATAGTCTAGTCTATAGTCTAGTCTATAGTCTAGTCTATAGTCTAGTCTATAGTCTAGTCTATAGTCTAGTCTATAGTCTAGTCTATAGTCTAGTGTATAGTCTAAACTATAGTCTAGTCTATAGTCTAGTCTATAGTCTAGTCTATAGTCTAAACTATAGTCTAGTCTATAGTCTAGTCTATAGTCCAATCTATAGTCTAGTCTATAGTCTAGTCTATAGTCTAGTCCATAGACTTTCACGTTTTAAAATTGATCTTAAACTGTTTCATGATTAGTGGATCTCATGATACAAGATTGAAGATTCAAATTTATCATACGATTGATGTCCTAAATCTTAAAGCAAGTGATCGTAAGTAAGGACATTAACCTATATTTAAACAACTTTTAGAAAATCTTAATGGATTGTTTAATTCCCAGGATATGTAAAATGTAAAATCAAAAAAAAAAAAAAAAAAAATTGAAGATCTTAAATGATCTTTAAGAGATTTTTTTGGGTGATCAAAGTAGAACTTTTAGAGATGCTTGATTAATGATCTTAACCGATCTTCAAACTATAATCAAACTATTTACATTGAAAATATGAATCAATCAATTAATTAGAAATACAGGACTAAAAATTGAGGTTTAAAAAGAGAAGACATCGACTCTATAAAAATATATGTACTATAAATGATCAATGTGCTCAATTTTAATTTAAGGATTTTTAAAAGATTTTCACGATTATATTGATCTTTTCGAGATTTATAGATGAAAAACAAAATTTAACTTGCCTCAATCTATCATTGAGAATCTAAATATGCCCTTTAAAAATGCAAGAACGAAAATCATAAATAATCGAAATTCAATATACAACTTTTCGCCTTAGAGGATCTAAATCGATCTTTGCTTGAACTTACGATGGTAGACAAAAAAATGTACAAATGTTACAACAATTAAAATTTTATTCAATCCTCGATAATGTTCAGTGAAATTGAGAAGGTACGAAATTAATTAACTTCTATTTTTTGATAATTTGCATTCAGCTTATCTGTTGCACCCTGTATAATTTAGTACGGTTCATATGATGATTCTAAAACGTAAATATTTATGAGTTAAATCATATTTCTCGTCATAACAAAAGATTTATCAAAACAATAATTTCAATAAATATAAAGAATATAAAATGCAATATTATTATAAAAAATCTTTCTTTATTCCCGGTATCCTTCGTCTATTCAACTCTAGTCTGTCTCTTTCTAATACATACTTTTTTACCTTTCCCTCTACCCTTACTTCCCTAAGTCCCTAAAATCGTTCATATATTTTCATGACTTGTTTAAATATGAATAACATGAAATTCATCCTCATAAAATCGTATACATTCATTTAAGGATAAAAGAAGACGAGGATAATTCTTCGATCCTTATACATATGTATGTATACAGACATAAATATGAATGTGTCTGTCTGTCTGTTGGTGTGTTTATGGCAGTCGGTTGTGGGAGTGGAAATGGTAGTTATGTTGATGGCAACAATCCAGACGTTCTTGTTGTTGTAGAACAATAAAAACTAAAGTGTGATATAAATATTAAAATAATAAAAAAAATATGAAATGAAAAGAATAGAAATGATAGAATTAGTAAATATTTATTCAATATAAATACAAACATGTGTAGTAGATAGATAGTCCTTAAAAACATTCAACATACAATGAGTAAAACAATAATAGTACATTGTTTACCCAGTATAATAAAGAGAAGAATATTTCAAACTACATACATACTTATGTTCATATTTCCAATTTGCATAAATACATTAATATATTAAAATCCAATTAAATATAAGAATTTATTGTCAGACACATAGACAGAAAGAACTGTATACATATATTAAGGATATTCACTTAAAAATATAGTTCATTTACCAAAAACATAAATCAACATTGAATACCCTTAATGTTAAAGTTTTAATTTTTTTCTTCTACTAACCAAATACAGCAATTAGTAATGCAAACTCTGGCTAGTCGTTTGGTCTTTTCGTCAAGTCTTATTATTTTCCTTTCCCAGTCTCAAGTACTTTGTTAAATGTTCTTTACTTCGCCAGGATCATATTGAATTAAACTACAAAACCTTCCTTCGCTATTTGGTTTCCATTTAACACGGTTAGAAGTATTTCATCTTGTGGAAAAAAACACGACAAATATTTATGGTGTAAAAATGTTAAATACCTGCGCTTCTCATTATCACAACCATCTTTTTTAAGCACTTGTGATGTCGCCTCGCCACTATAACGTTGGTTCCCGTTTTGTCATTGTATTGTTGTGTGGTTTTGGTCCTTGAAAGTGTTGTGCACGGCTGACTGACAAATAACCATTAACACTTGTATTATTACCATATTTTCATGGTTAACAAAAAGACATTTTATCATTAATTTTCTGTACTTGGCGTTATTTTATTTATTTGCAACGAAAGAAGGAAAACAATATTTTTCATGTTTTATTTTTTTCCGCCAATGAGACGGCGACACTCTATTTTTGGGGAACATTTTCAGAAAACATTTGTTTGCAAGAAACTCATTTATAAATATAAATTTTTTACACTTGAAAGAACTAAAAATTAAATTTTTCTCATGACTTATTTGATGTCAAAATCTTGATTGAAAAGTTACTTTAATTGTAGATTAAATTAGTATTTAGACTTTGATTTAATTTCTTTTAAGTTCCATACTCCTTTTTCATACCAGAGGAGGCTACAATATTGATTAGTTCGCTATTGTTTGGTTTGGTTTGGCTTCTTAAATCACTTTTTTATCCAACATACCAAAGAAATAAAAATGCATCACCGATCCATTCATATCCAGACTGAACATAATCCTTGCCTAATATATACGAAAATTGTCGTACATTGTACGAATGCTTCGTTGTTTGGGATTATTTCGTAATATATACGAAATTGTATGAAACATTCTTAGTATAATGTAAAATAATTTTTCCATTCATATCCAGACTGAACATAATCCTTGCCTAATATATACGAAAATTGTCGTACATTGTACGAATGCTTCGTTGTTTGGGATTATTTCGTAATATATACGAAATTGTATGAAACATTCTTAGTATAATGTAAAATAATTTTAGAAAAATTATATTATATAAATTGTTAAATGTAAATTTCAAATAAATATGGTGAAATTTACGAAAATTTTATAAATGGCAAACATTTTTGTTCATTTTATAATCATTTTTGTAATTTTAGAAGTTGTCGTCCACACGAATTTTTTCTTTAATGTTATGAAAATAATTCGTGAATTGTTATAGTTTTTAAATTTTATAAAAAAAATTTGTAGTATTTATAATATGACTAGCTATACTCAGTGTACTTGGAGGTACCACGCCCCCTAATGCTAGTCCGCCTACTTTTTCCTAAATAATCATATTAATATCATATAAAGTGAGGACTCTAACTTTTATATTATTTCAGATATACTGATTCAATATTTTCTTAATATGGGCGTGACACGTCGCCCACATGAAATTTCAACATAAAAGTAGCCTTTAGCTCCTTCCAGACATACAGGAAGACAATGTGAAAATTTCAAGAAAATCTGTCTAGCCGTTTACCAGTCTATAAAGTCCAAACAAACACATTTTCATCTACAGAACTTTTTCACATCTTTGGAAGAAAGACAGAATTCTACATTTAGATTTCGAAATCTACGGTTTATTATCCAATTCCATCATTTTGAGATCCGCGATCGGTGATAAAAATCTGAATTTTAATGATCTATAATTGATGATCAGAACTAATATTTCAGTGATCCAGATTCAGAGATCAGATTCGTTATAAAAACCGATAAAAAGATTACGACTGAAAATACTAATAAAAAGAAAAATTAACTGCTTTAAAAACCTCAAAATAGGATGCAAATTCGTGTGCAGTGTCTCTTACTAACTCTATGTAATCCTGGACTACCTACTATAGCCTTGATTGAGTATTTTTTTTTTTTAAGAAATCTATATATATACTAAGAGTAATTATGATTATAGGTTTTTTTAAAGAGTTTCAGTAAACACGGGATTTATATCCAACTTTGAGTATATAAAGGTTTAATACATTATTAGATTCTTCTGCAGTAATTAAAAATTTGATGGACTTGATTCTTAGCATATTTTTCATCTTGTAGCGTACATTGAAATACTCCTTTACTGAACTCTTCTAAATTCCTCACATTTTGCTTTTCATAAAATAGCTTTTAAGAAACATTAAGCAGGAGTTATTTAAAATTATTCTACTTCTTCCACACTCCGCCCAGGACATCATATGTAAATTTTAATAGTACATGTTGCGATTTGTTTTATTTTAGACACTCTCTTTGCTCCTCCTCCTCATCTTCTTTCTTTTCATTTTTTTTTTTTTTTTTTTTTTTTTGAAAAATTGCTGTTGTGCTGTCGCATAAATTAGTCACAATAGAAAAACAAGTGGAAGTAATAAAAGACAAAAAGGACGACTTTTAGGAAAATTCAACGATGAATGCGAAATTCTTGCTGCATAATCTGATCTCAAAGTTAAACATGACAAGAGTTGAGAAAAAGGAACGAGATGTTGAAAACCATTTGGAAAATGTCAGATAATTTACACAAAACACGAAAAATGGTTTAATTTTTAGTGTTAATTTGTTGAGAGTTGAAGAAAAAAAAGAGTTTAAATTCTTAATATCTTATATAAAGACTTACGATTTGAATAAAATTGCTTGATAAATATGTTACATACCTGAAAAGAAATTAAAATAAAAATTTTTATTTAGAAAAGGTAATCTTAAAGTTGATTTAAAAATTTTAAAAACCACAACCACGCCCCTTTGTAAGATTGAATAAAAGGGAAATGGTTTGTTTGGAAGTTTAATTTTTTTAAAAAATGAAGTAATTTCTTAATCTTTTAATACTTTTTTTCTTTTACATCTAATCCTTTTGTAATTCTAATACATTTATTGTCTAATGTATCTTCCACCATTAATATATACCAGAATAAACCTCAGCTGTAGCTTAACCTAAATATTGTTAAATTCTCATTTAGTTGTCAAAAAACATGATGTCCTTTAGTGTCATCTTTTTTAGCATTTTTGTTCTTTTTTTATAAAAAACTCTAAGCAAAATAAATTAATTTTTTATTTGAAATTATACTAAAAAACAGGGATAGTGATACAAAGTACAAAAAAAAAAAAAAACAATTTGAATTTTAATAAATATTAATCTACATCCTTAATATAAAAAAACACATACAACAAAAAACAGCAATGAGAAAATGTAAAAAATTGCAAATAAAAAAGAGCTTATGGGAAACAACAGTGAAAAAATAAAACATAATTGATAACAATACATCAATCAATGTCATGTAACACAAGAAACATTTATTTAGTCATTCAGTCACTCAGTCATTCAAATATTCATACGTTCAGCTCAGCTAGAGAGTGGAACCCAGCCCTGAGCCAACAACCCAGTCAATTTCTTTGTCTTTTTTAAACAGTTATGCTTAAGACTAAATTGCCATTTATAGCTAAAAAAAATATTGTTAAAAAAGGATGTCTTTCTTTTTTATATGTTTACTCTTCTGCTACAATAATGAAATAATAATTTTATTAAAATCATAACATAAAACGAATATAGAGAACATTTTTGTATATAAAACAATCTGTGCGTCTTTCACTCTACCTCCCTACCACTGACCACCACAATTCTCCAAGGAGGAAACTTCGTATCAAGCCATAATTTATTGTTGCCAATCTCCAATGTCTCCATGAACATTTCTGATTTTTCTTCACCCTGATCTAACCGTTAACATAAAACTGCATGTGCAGAAAATTACGAGGGTTATGTGAGAAAATTTTCAAGCTACAAAAGTTTCTGACTTCTTTTAAAACTGAACTGCAACTATAAGCGGACCTAGAACTGAACTAGAACTGAACTAGAACTGAACTAGAACTGAACTAGAACTGAACTAGAACTGAACTAGAACTGAACTAGAACTGAACTAGAACTGAACTAGAACTGAACTAGAACTGAACTAGATCTGAACTAGGACTGAACTAGAACTGAACTAGAACTGAACCAAAACTGAACTAAAACTGAACTAGAACTGAACTAGAACTGAACTAGAACTGAACTAGAACTGAACTGAACTAGAACTGAACTAGAACTGAACTAGAACTGAACTAGAACTGAACTAGAACTGAACTAGAACCGAACTAGAACTGAACTAGAACTGAACTAGAACTGAACTAGAACTGAACTAGAACTGAACTAGAACTGAACTAGAACTGAACTAGAACTGAACTAGAACTGAACTGAACTAGAACTAGAACTAGAACTGAACTAGAACTAGAACTGAACTAGAACTAGAACTGAACTAGAACTGAACTAGAACTGAACTAGAACTGAACTAGAACTGAACTAGAATTGAACTAGAACTGAACTAGAACTGAACTAGAACTGAACTAGAATTAAACTAGAACTGAACTAGAACTGAACTAGAACTGAACTACAACTGAACTACAACTGAACTACAACTGAACTAGAACTGAACTAGAACTGAACTAGAACTGAACTAGAACTGAACTAGAACTGAACTGAACTAGAACTGAACTAGAACTGAACTAGAACTGAACTAGAACTGAACTAGAACTGAACTAGAACTGAACTAGAACTGAACTAGAACTGAACTAGAACTGAACTAGAACTGAACTAGAACTGAACTAGAACTGAACTAGAACTGAACTAGAACTGAACTAGAACTGAACTAGAACTGAACTAGAACTGAACTAGAACTGAACTAGAACTGAACTAGAACTGAACTAGAACAGAACTAGAACTAGAACTGAACTAGGACTGAAATAGAACTGAACTAGAACTGAACTAAAACTGAACTAGAACTGAACTAGACTTGAACTACTAGAACTGAACTACAACTGAACTAGAACTGAACTAGAACTGAACTTGAACTGAACTAGAACTGAACTAGAACTGAACTAAAAGTGAACTAGAACTGAACTAGAATTGAAATAGAACTGAACTAGAACTGAACTAAAACTGAACTAGAACTGAACTAGAACTGAACTAGAACTGAACTAGAACTGAACTTAAACTGAACTAGAACCGGTCTTCATACTATCTTCAATCACACCACTCTCGTACAAAATTTATTGCCAATATTTTTATTGTTTCTCAAACCCGAATTGTTACTTTTTTTATAATGTTATAAGCCAGAAGCGTTACAGCAAAGACAATAATATCTATAGAAAAAAATTCTTGGAAATCACAGTTTAAAAGGCAATTAATTTTGCATTAGAAATCATGTCGTTTTAAAATTCTCCCCCCCCACAACAGCTAATATTGATCTATGGATGAGTAAATGGGTTTTTTTTGCACATTTTCCAATGTTGTCTATTCCCGTAGGTATATAAAGGAACAAAAAAAAAACATATATAATTTTTATGGTGAAAAATGTATGCCCAAGAGAATGTATTGCCATACAAAGAGAATACAAAAAGTTTAAAATAATTTCCTTATAACAATTTAATGCCTGCATATTTTTTTGTAACAATTGTAAACTGTTAAGAATTCAGTTATATTTTAAGATATTTATACTTTTTTTTTACTTTAGATTTATCTTTGCAATTTATGTTTACTTTTGCATAAATGATTATATGTTTATAAGTATGTTAAACAGACACAGAAAATATTGTTAAGTACTTTTTAATTCTTTCAAGTTTACATATGTGTGTGTTTGTTTTACTCCCTCTTCTCACATACTCTCGTTGACTTTTTAATGATATTCCAAGAGATGTTGCAGGAAATAGCAGTTTAGGGAAAGATACAAACATTAAATGTGTCAAAATTCCCACCGGCAATTGTCAATTGAATATTTTTTTTAACAGTAAATTGATATTTATGTTGAAAGAAAGAATATTATTTAAAAATTTAAAGCTTAGCTAAATATGTAGGTTTTATGACATTGCAAAGAATGTTGATATTTACGTCAGTAATACCCATTTAGTTAAAAGATACAATTTTCCATTTTATAATTTTAATATTTTGTATTTCGCAAAAAAAGTCTGATTCCCCTAATGGTTCCACACTGCATAGTTCGATTTATTTGTTCTATAGAAATAAACAAATTATAATGATTTGAATATTATTTTTTCTCATTTAACACAATTAATCTTATTAGTGATGCTGGCCAACCTTCACCTGTCGCAAAATATTATAAATAAATTATACAAAAAAAATCTGAAAATTCTACACAAAAATTATAAAGACGGCCGTAGACCGAGCACAAATAGAAAGTGACAAATCAAAGTGTTTAATTAGACATGAGTCGCCTACGTTGTTGCAGCACTGCAGCTACACAAGGGGTGAAAAAATACTAAGACAAATTTTATAAATTAGCAAATGACATGAAACGTCACACATTTTTTTAGGTTTTTTGCAAATATACTTACAAATCAAATAATGAGCAGGGTAAGAACCTTATTTTTATACAAAGCCATTTTATAAAACTTTTAAAACAGTAGAATTCTACAAATAAAGTACGAAAATAATATTTAAATTAAAATTTTTAGAACAAAAATTACACAGAATGTTTTTTTTCTAAAACCACAAAATTTGAAACAGGTGGACTGTGAAATACAAAAACGTAGAAATTATTAGATTTTATACAGAATGTGTGTTTTGTGTTTAACTCGTGCAAAATGCCAATGACACGGATGACTAAATTATTAATGACAAATGTTGTTGCTTGCTACTGACGAAATAGAAAAGAAATATGAAAAAATTATAAACATGTTGTTGTTCTTGTTTAATTTAAATAAAAAATGTATAATTTTAATTGTTGTTTTATTATTAAATAAAATTAGTCACTTAAGGGCATTTGTTTTATGTCATTAGGGATTTAATTTGTATTCTTTCTTATGCTGCGAATCCATTATGTGAATACATATATGAAAATCTCAAAGTCTGTTATAGTTCAGTTCTAGTTCAGTACTAGTTCACTTCTGTTCTAGTTTAATTCCAGTTTAATTCTAGTTCAGTTCTAGTTCAGTACTAGTTCACTTCTGTTCTAGTTCAGTTCTAGTTTAATTCCAGTTCAATTCTAGTTCAGTTCTAATTCAGTCTAGTTCAGTTCTAGTTCAGTTCTAGTTCAGTTCTAGTTCAGTTCTAGTTCAGTTCTAGTTCAGTTCTAGTTCAGTTCTAGTTCAGTTCTAGTTCAGTTCTAGTTCAGTTCTAGTTCAGTTCTAGTTCAGTTCTAGTTCAGTTCTAGTTCAGTTCTAGTTCAGTTCTAGTTCAGTTCTAGTTCAGTTCTAGTTCAGTTCTAGTTCAGTTCTAGTTCAGTTCTAGTTCAGTTCTAGTTCAGTTCTAGTTCAGTTCTAGTTCAGTTCTAGTTCAGTTCTAGTTCAGTTCTAGTTCAGTTCTAGTTCAGTTCTAGTTCAGTTTCTAGTTCAGTTCTAGTTCAGTTCTAGTTCAGTTCTAGTTCAGTTCTAGTTCAGTTCTAGTTCAGTTCTAGTTCAGTTCTAGTTCAGTTCTAGTTCAGTTCTAGTTCAGTTCTAGTTCAGTTCTAGTTCAGTTCTAGTTCAGTTCTAGTTCAGTTCTAGTTCAGTTCTAGTTCAGTTCTAGTTCAGTTCTAGTTCAGTTCTAGTTCAGTTCTAGTTCAGTTCTAGTTCAGTTCTAGTTCAGTTCTAGTTCAGTTCTAGTTCAGTTCTAGTTCAGTTCTAGTTCAGT